AATTTGTATTTTAATTTATATTTTTATAACTAATTTTTATGTCATATAATGTAGGTCTCATTGACAATTAATTGTAATCATGTCCGGGATTACACTTGTGGTGTGGTTTTGTTCATTACATCGGAAATCGAGTCAAGAAATGAAAAAGTTGTTACAAGGGTAACTTTATAATTATGTTTTTAAATTGTAAATACATATTGAATAATATATGACTTTTTTCACTTAGAATCACGTCTGGAACTAATGTTCTAAGTGGAAAACCCGAAACAAAGACTTTGCAGTTCATTTATCCTAAGGTTAGAAACTTATTTATATAAGTGAATACCATAATTATTGTTTGTATTTAAATTTTGAAAATAACATTATGTTTAATTCATCATTTCAGTGTAATAAGCAAACAAGCTCATTTGAATGTGGTTACAATGTTATGTATTGGATGAGAGCCATATTTTACTGCGGTATAACTGATTCTTAGATCGGAGGTAATTGCTTTTAACATTAGTTAAGTTTATTTAACTTTATGCATGTTTACAAGAGTCAAATTAATGTTTCAGGTATTTCAAGATCCATCTCCATTGCCATAATATGATATTACACAAATTAGAGAATAATGGGCAAGATTTTTCGTTCAATAATTCTAATACTTAATTTTTTAGGTTATTGTTCATATTATATTGTGTGTATTATGTAGTTTAGGTAGCTTAGTTTGTAATAGATTTTAGTTTGTAGGTTATTATTTGTATTATATTGTTTTATTATGTAGTTTGAATTATATATAATATCATATTTTTTATTTACTAGCTAAAGAAACTTGAACCTCTAGACTATCTGGTTATAATATATATTTGCAGGTTTTGGTTGTAAGACAAAATAAACCCAATTTTTTTAAAAAAAGGAGCAAATTTACGTCGCATATTGGTATGTGCGACGTAAATTTATGTCACATATTGGTATATGCGACGTAAATTTGCTTTTTTTTTTTAATTTTTGAAACTTTTTACGTCTGTTTAGTAGTATATGTAACGTAAATTATCGTCAGGTCTCGATAATTGATGTTAATTTACGTCGGGCTAAAGGGTGCGACGTAAATTTACGTCTCCCATTTTAATGTCAATCTTAAATACGACGTAAAAAATCCAAAATACCTGATGTAAAAGCCATTTTTTACACTAATGCAAGTCAAAGATGTGCTGATACAATCTTGATTACACAAGACGTTGAAATAAATAACTTCTGACATGGAGTCAGATTCAGAGACTGTCTCTCTTATGTTGGGAAAGGGTGATCTTTTGTAAAAAGATGAGTTAAGTATCCTCATGGCATAACCGCGTTGTCATGGAAAATTGTGAGTTTTTTGCTAGCGATAATTGTGCAAGAACATTGGCTAATATTGATGTAAGGTGTGTGGTGATTATACACGGGCGTTGGTTAGCATTGATGCAAGTATGTAATGAAAGAAAATTCTTGGAAAGATAAAAATGTGTGTGTGTGTGTGTTGGTTAGCATTGATGCAGGTATGCAATGAAAGAAACGGGTGCGTGTGGGTGCGTGTGTGTGTGTGCGTGTGTGCGTGCGTGCGTGCGCGCGCGCGCGTGCGTGTGTGTGCATGTGTGTGTGTGTGTGCGCGTGTGTGTGCGTGTGTGTGTGCGTGTGCGTGTGCGTGTGCGTGTGTGTGCGTGCGTGTGCGTGTGCGTGCGTGTGCGTGTGTGTGTGTGTGGTGAATCTCATTTCCAGTGAGTTACACTTACTGACAACCAAACGAATGTTAAGATATTTGAGAAGAACAACTGAGTTTGGCATTTTTTAGAAAATGGGAGGAAACAATGAACTTCTTTCTTACGTTTTTTTATTATGTTCAATTGTTGTTTCTTAATTCTCAGAGAGACAACCAATTGTGAGTTTATCCATTACAAATACTGAGTTTATAGGTGCAACTTCACGTGTTTGTCAAGTCATATCTTACAAAGACTAAAATTATTAAGATGATACATCATGAGAAAAAAAAACAAGTGACTAATATTATGACCAAACCACTTAAGTTAAATACTTTTCAAAATTACGCAGGTCACCAGGTGTATGTATAGAATATGATATAAACTGATATTTAGTTTAATGAAGAATTTCTCAAATATGGTTACATAATTTTAGGAGCAGTTATATATTAGCGTTATTTATGTTTTTGAAAGATAAAATGAATATAACATTCATTTTTTTCTACCTTTTATCCTTTATATTTACTAGAATCCAACAGATTTCACATTTGAATATCTTAACAAAGTATGAGCTTTCATTTCTAGTTCAAGCATAAAGTTGCAACTGAAACTCAAAGTACGAATTTAATTAAAAAATAAATAAACCCAATAAAAAAGGTTATATAATTAACTTTACATCAACGTTTCGTTATAATGAATAAAGTAGTGCCCACATTCTTAACCTTCTCCTATGGTCGTTAGAGTATAAAATTTTATGAAAAAAAAACTACTTAGAGTATCTTCTAATAAGAATCTATACTTAAAAAAACTAAAATAATAAATAAATATAAATTAACTTGAAAATTTATAAAAAATTATAAAATATAACATCATTTTATAATTAATAAGACGTTTGAATGAGTCATATTAGTTCATCATAATTAAAATGGATCAGAGATTTCGATCTATCTAAAAAAATTACCTAGTGAGTTACTAAGTTAATGCATCAATTTTTCTATATATTTTAAAAAAAATACATCTTTAATAATATAAATAATTTTTAAATTTTTACTCATTAATTAATACTATTATTAGATAAATTTAAAAAATTATTTTGTTTATGAATTAAAATATTTAGTTATAATTAATAATTAAAATTTAATTAATTAATATTTATAATTTAAATTATAATATTATAATATATTCACATTTTTCAATAATATAAATTTTAAGATTATTAAGATGGGTTATGAAGTTAAAATTACTAATTTATCTTAATACACGTTGGTATGTCGGTCTCTCATCTACTTCATTTTATCGAATAATGATAAGTGTTTCAATAATTAATATTATTATTTTCTCATATAATAAAAGACATATTAAGAGTAAAATATCATTGAGGAAGAAAAACTAAACCTAACTAAGAAAGAAAAATTACCCTGGTACTTAACTTATGCATAATCATAATTAAACAACAGTTAATATTTATTATATAAGAATTATATCAAAGATTTACAATAACTAATTGTACACCATACTTAATAAATCTTTGACAACGAATACTTAATATGAACATAAACATAAAGATGGGTGAGAGGGAAGCATAAAATCAATTATAAATCCAGAATGGACCCCTTGTGTCGTGAGAAACTACATATCTTATCTCATACCCACTGATTAATGGCTTCCCATGCATCATGCATGCTCCTATGAAGTTTCTGCGCAATTGCACAAATAAGACAACGTAAACTTCCAACACTAAACATTAAAATCACAAACGTAAGATTTAAATTCTGTGTTCCACCTGTAATTTAAACATCTTCATCAGAATCAATTCAGACCAAGCAACGTCCATCGCAAATTTCCAAACAGAAGAGTTCAACTGTAATTGAATGGGATAAAGACAAAAACAGAAGCATAAAGTCTCAAAAATATTAGAGTTTTGTTGACCTTTTACTTCGTTTTCTTAAGAAAAACTTTTTTATATCTAAACTAATGATAATTATTTTTGGAAAGTAAAAAATATTGTTTCGCTCAAAATATATAGTAATAATAGTTTCCCAAAATCTTTAAAATTCTAGTACGGTAAAAAAAACTTAATTTTACAAATAAAAAAAATCAGTCCAATGATAATTAATATGAAGAGCTCCTTTTATTGAAACCTATCCATCTATCTACTGTTTATTTATCGAAACCTGCGATGTGAAACATAGTTTGTCACAAGGTCGTTCTGCAGTTATAAACGTGATTCCACCACCGCCCAAAGAAAAAGCAAAACAGGATAAAAAGTTGACAAACGTGAGTATTTTGGGTTTTTCATCTTTAGATTAATATTTTCTTATCAACTTTTTAAGTAGATATCAAGTTTATCCGAAACATTGTTTCTTTTTTTTCTTTATTTATTTTATTTTAATATAATATTTATTTTGATTAAAAAATAAAACATGGACATGAGTTATCCCTGCAATGCAATAACTTTTATTCTTCAAGTTTTTACTATGGGATTAAATATTTTTAATAAAACGTATTTCTAACTTTTTATTATTTTTTTCTTCTTCTTTTCTTTTTTCCTAAATATTTTGGAAGTAATGGATATGCATTGGATAATAATATAAGTAGAATAATATATGTAATCCAACATTATATGATAGGGCATAAAATAATTTAGCAAATAATAATATAACATATATATATATATATATATATATATATATATATATATATATAACTGATATAATTGCTATTATAAATTGGACGTGATGAACAAACATTATTGATGGAATAGACGTGACGATGACGACAATAATCTTATGATGCTTGAAGTAGTAACTGCAATAGCATGACAACACAAACAACGAAAATAACAACTATAGAATACAATCAGAATGATGACCGATTGATAGGAACAGCGACCCTATAAAAATTAACACAAGTTAATATTTGAGGAAGACTTTTTAAAGGAATCAAATAATAATAAGGTGAGAACTTTAAGCACGGTTAGTGCAAACTTATAAAGATGCTTTTTTGACTAAAAATGTTACTCAAACGTCACATTGCCAAGGTGGGGTAAGCAAGTGGTAACCCAAAGTCAATATGAATTGTGTCGGTTAAATGAAAAATGCTGAGGCAAGAAAAAAAGGAAAACTATATGACATTAAACACTGTTTACGTACAACTTATATTCTTATTATCATCATTGGGTTAAAAAAATAAAAACTAAATATCTATAAAATTATATTGGGAAATTGGTTTGGTTTAAACTATGAACCGATATTCAAAAGTGTCTACAGTGGCAGTGGAACATTATTTTCAGGTTGATAACCCAGCAATGAATGAAACTCCGGTAGACGGCAACCACGATGAGCCCGAGATGAATTGGCCAACCGTGAATCTAGAAGCTTCAACAGATGAATTGATGACCCGATACCCGGCCCAATTCACGCGTTGACCCAGGGCCGCACCCGGCCCAGAATTCATATATTCACCATAGTACAACGTGTCAAGAGCAAACGATGACGTGTTCCACTCCAGCCACCCACGTGGGTGCACGTGATCCCCGATGTAGGATAGCATGTACACGGTTCTGGCGAATAGTTTCCAGGGACGACCCAGATAAGTGGGGTACCCAGCCTTGGATGCTTCGAGATCCGGTGTGGCAAGGATCCGACAGTTGTGGATCGAAATGCCCGTATTCTGATTCGGGTCTTTGCGGTTTTGGGCCGTGATGGTGTTCTTTTGTAGGGGCATCGGCTTCCTGGCCCAGAGACTGCAGTTCTGGAACACCACTGCAGCATTGCCGAATACGAAGTCGACGGTTCCGTAAATGTCGCATTCGCGGAAAAATTGACGGTTGGAGTGGACGTACAATGTGTCCTGGTATCCAATGACGTTGCAGCGGTACACCACCGCGTGGTCCGCCCCGACACGGAGGGCCACAGCTTGGTGCTTCCCCGGTCCGGCGTAGTTCTCGAATGTCATGTCTTTTGCGATGAAACCAGAACCACTAGCAGCTGCAACACAGGATCATCATTTTTTTTATTATTAATAACAATAAGGTGCGAACTTTATGTTAGTGGATGAAATTGAATTAATTATTGGTTGCGAAGTAGTGGTCTTGTCTTTAATCTTCTTGAATAGTCTGTTGATGATGGACACAAATGTGACTTTGTTTATCAATTTCGCAAGCATTGCATGACCCACTAATAATAATTTTATTTCGCTACTTTAATTTTGTGCCTTTCGTTAGAGGATAAGGTTAATATTAAGAGTAATACGTGTTTATGAGAACAAGATGGGGTTCGTTTTGTTTCGGTGAAGCCAGAGGATCCCATTTGTTATTTTCACTTTTTTTCTCCTCTCTTATTCAAATCTTTCAAACACAAAGAAAAAAAAAACTTTTTTTTCTTGGTGATCATTAATAAACGTCAAATGTCTTATAATAATTGCACAGAAAATCGTGAAGACAACATAATGATATTTTCAAAACAAAAAATAAAATGACACTTTTATAGCAACAATTAATGGAAATACAAAATGAAAACGAAACATACCTTTCACTCTTGTGATTTGGAAGTTCAAAATTTATCTAAAGATAGGAATTAGACGTACGCAAAACGCATTATATAATGCAAGCAACCTAGCACTTAGGACATGCTGATGTTGTTCAAACTTCAAATGCTGTTTTGTTGTTTTATTTTTAAATCAGGAATGCTCATTCTGGACACGCCAAATTAGTGATAGTGTAAATTTTGGATGTACTGTATATAATACTGAACTCAAGAAACAAAAGAACAACTAAACTATACTATATTAGAGCATAGAGACTCTGACATCTTAGATTAAGGAAAGGAAAATTTCCAGGTTTGAAAGTCCAAAACCTTGACTAAAACTGTAATTCAATAACAAATCACCACAATAACTTTTCTCTCAGAATTTGAAACAAATCAACTGTATCTTTCTTGTTTAGGCGGAAATTATGAAGGAAGTAACACGAAAAATAGTGCGTTATATTTTTAATATGTTTCACGATTTCACAAATTGGGGTATATATATAGGTAACTAAACTCTTTTAAACATTGACTCTGGTTACTTTTATTTATCCAAACAAGTAAAAGAAACACAATAGAATTGGCGGTGGACATAGAAGGCTCATTTGGAGTAGACAAGGTAATTTAACAGAAAGGAATCTTGAATATGGCAACCACGACTTGCAGGCCACGTGCAACTTGTAATGGTCTCTACCTCATGTTGTCCATGTTTTTTACCTTTCCCTGTCCTGTTTTTTCTCTCTTTCTTTTATATATATATATATATATATTTCAAAGTAACACATATTTTATATCCCCAACAGTATATTCTTTCACATTACTCAATTGATTTAATATATGTATTGATATTATTTATAACTTTTTAGCTTTGATTTAAACTGAAATATTATAAAATACAATAAGTACTTAATAAAGCGTTCGGAAGAGGAGAAAGAGAAGGAATTTACCAAAGGATGCCGTGTGAAATGTGGTGAGGTTCTCCATATAATTTCTTCCCCCTGTGATGACGGTCTTGCCCTTCCCGTCCCCCATGAACATCACATTTGTTTTCTTCCTCCCCAGCTTTAAATTGTCCTCTTCATACCTGAAAAATGGTATTGGCGTCAACAATAAAATGTTAGAGCTTCTATCTATCCTAACCTTAACTAACTCCCATCACCAAATATGCTGCATTTATATATATTATGCTAAAACCAATATCATTATCTCATATATTTGCCGTTAATATTCATACACATGCATCTTTTTTTTTTAATATTACCTTTAATATATTACTAACAGTTTAATCATATTTTTCCTTCAAAAAAACAGTTTAATCATTTTTAATCTTCACTCCTTAACTAATTTTGTATTGTTTACACACGTTTACCGTTAAAAGGTCAAAATCAATTAATGAGGATGGTGGCATCGAGACATTAGTAAATACTACGTTGTCCTACACCACATGCAATTAATTATGATCATAAATTTTACATATTTTCACAAACAATGTTGTCAGTACACTTTTTTTGTTAGTGCAAGAGTGAGAAGAAAATGATGAAAAAAAAAATAATAATAATAACAGTGTGATGTATGTAGTAAGAAGTAGATGAAATATAAAAAATATTATATAATGTTAATGGTTAAAATTGTGTTCACGTGACTACAATGGCATGTCCAAGCATGATGATTCAGTACCACTAAGTCCACCACGCAATCATCCCACAATCCACAGTGCACGGTCCTCACACTTTTTAACGCTCAATGGCCACAAAACATGAAAACAATGATGGTTAAAAATGTGGTAGTTAACTAGTTACGTACGTTGTTAAAAAAAAAAGAAGAATAATGTATAGTTTTGTGTTTGGTATTAGGTATATTTACCTTCCTGCCCTGACGTAGACAATGAAGCGGCGTGAACTATATTCCGGCACTTTCTTAATGGCCTCGGCGATGGTCTTAACGGTTCCGTTACCGTCCTTTGAAACCACAATATCGGCTTGTATCGCCGATAGAGGCAAGCTAAGCAATCTCCTATCACGTCGATTCAACCATCTCGGGAATTTATCGTCTTGCATTGTCATCAATCGTCTCTTGTTCTGAATGGGAACGCCGGCGAAGTCGTCGCCGGCGGAAGCGGCTGAGAAAATGGCGAGGCAATTGCTGACGAGCTCCGACAAGTCCTTGAGGTTGTTGCTCATCTGGTCCGTAACAGGACCGGCGGAATCGGCGAAGCCCTCCGAGCAGGTGTCCTGGTTGGTGAGCGCGGCGCTGAGCCACGTCAGCACGTCGTCGTTGGCGGAGCCAACGGCGCCGAGGGAGACAGTGCTGAGGGAGCGGGCCAGCGCGTCGACGGAATCGTCGAGGAGTTCGAGGCAGTCGTCGTAGGCGGCGCGAACGCGGGGATCCATGGTGGCGTAGGAAATTGCGGCGGAGGTGTAGAGCGCCTTGGAGAAGTGCTGCAACGTGACGTTGAAGGAAATGTGGACGAGGTCCTTCTCGGATGCCGCTTGGGATCCCGGAAAGTCTAGCAGCGAATTGACGCACAGCATCTGAAATCGTGTCTTACCGCACATGCGTGAAATCGCTTGTGTAGGCTTCCCTTTGAGCCTTGAGCCGTCTGCTCGTGTAGTGATGCGAGAGCGGACGGCAACGGCAGTAACTGCCGATGCTGCGATCAATACGAGGCCGAAGAGTGTGAGCAAGGCAATCTTCTTCTTCCCGGAAGATCTTGGATTCATAGTGGGAGTGCGATGAGAGGGTCCTAATCTTCCATAATCCATTGTATGTGTTTCTTATTTTGTGCTGGGAGAATGCGATGTAGATTGTGGTGAAGGGTACGTAAGAAGAAGTGGTCCTTTATATAAATGACGGTGCTTAGTTACTACTTAGTAGTGAGGAGTGAGTGTGTTTTTAGTGATGTTGTGTGAAGGGGTTTAGTTGGTGTGAAGTCGATGTCGCAGGAATTAGCTGGCTGCTACTATAAACCCACTCAACTTTGCATACCACTGCTTCCAGTTTCTGTTCCTGCCTCTCTTTCCATTATTGCTCTCATAATTATTAACCTCAATTTGATAAGTATGATGACATAAGGATCCACAAACTTCCATTAGCTAGGTTCAAACTTTAGATCAGGGATTAAAGTACTTCCCCGTTTTGGTCCTTCCATACTTATGCTCATCATCTTATCTTTTAAGGAATTCTCTAACACACCAATCCCATCCTTTTCAACCTAATTTTTTCCCCTCATTTTCTCGCCTTTCCACTTTATGTCCGGCATTTTTCCGTCAGTTCCCTTTTCCTACTTCGTTTTATATCTCCTTCTCTCCTTTCAACCAATTTTTTATTTAATATTATCATAATTTGTTTATTTTTCAAAAGCTATTTTTTCTTCTTTGAGGGAGTTCTTCATCAAATAAATTGTTGCTGTCGGTAAAAAATTATTTGATAGACAAGAATGAGAACATACTGTGAGTGACATACTGCACACGTGACTTGGTGACTTACTTTTATCCCTTCGCCTCATGAATAATTTTTTTTTTTCTATGAACAATTCCAATGGGATAAGTTATATTTCACAAAATTAATTAATAAAATAATTCAAGTTTTGTAATTCACTAATAAAATAACAATAATAACAATATATGATTAACAATAGTAGATAAGATAATGACTCATTAACAATGAGATATGGATTATTTATAGGTTGCCACCTCACTTCATCAATACACTTGTTTTATAAAAATTCCCTTTCTATCTATACTTTTTTTTAAATATCACTATTTTATTGGTTAAAATAAATATTAAAAATATAATTACCTTAAAATTCTGTTTTTTATATTTAGTGCCATTTTTATAATTAGACCGTCTCAATGAATTTAAAATTTAAATATTTAATTAGAGTTTAATCAGAATTCAATTAAATTTAATAAAATAATATTTTTATTATATCTTTTTTAATAAAATTAATTTTTAAAATAATAATAATAATAATAATTAGTTTTAAAATAAAAATATATTAATAATAATTAAATGATAATTATAAAAATAAGATAAAAATACTATAGATGAGATAAAAAAATTAAAATATATTAATTTTTCTAGTTTTATCTTAATTTTTTTCAGATTTTGTATCAATTTAATTAAAATATAGTTATTTTTTAATTGAATTCTCATGTTCAAAAAAGTGATATTTAATCTCATCATCACAAATTTAAAGCAAGGAAAAACTGAAAAAAAAAATCAAAATAATTGTTTGTTGCGGTAGTTAATAGGTTAGTGCCTAATGATGAAAAAATTGTGATGAAATAAATAATGTAGTAAATGTATGAATTAAGTGGAACTTGAGCAACAATAAATTTACAGTTTTTAAAAGAGGAAAAACCAAAAACGCGTGATGATGAAACACCATGTGGTTTAGATAAAGGGCGCCACCGACAAAAACTGCACGTGGCACAAGAGTGGGTAAATTTTTTTAATAAATGCCGAAAACAACATAACGTCTTTTACGACCTCCTTAATTACATCTATAAATGACAAGTTACTTCATTAATATTAATTAATTATGAAGAATTATCCCATGATACTCACGAGATATTCAACAAGAATCAAGATGCTAATAAAAATAAGCTTTAATCCATATAACTACGGAGGAGGATAAACGTAACAATAAGATAAAAACCTCTTTACACTTCAAAGTAATTTTTTTTTGTATATAAAATTATTTACTAATAAGATATTTATATCAAACTTACATTATGATAAAAATCTGCAGATTACTTTTTTGAAAATTAGTGTACTTTATAGTAAACACTATGGAGTGTTGTTTCGTGTCTGGTCTTTGAATGTCGCAGGTACTCATTCAAAGTTCTCAGTACGACACCACTTTATATGCTGCTTTCGTTCTGTACTTGTGTCATTTCCTGTTAGTGTTTTGGATTTTTCATTTTTATATCACGCTCTAATTAAAAGAATGTAAATGTATTAGAAAAATATCTTAGTAAGTTATTATTAGGATGAATATTTATTTGATGTTTCTCTCCTCAAAATTCTAATTATATTAAATAATAAATACTTTTATAAACATGTGAAAAAAAAGGAAGTCTTCATCCTCATCCATATTCTATGGTTCAAACCAAAAATGTTGCTTTCCAAACTAATTGAAGAATGACCATGTTAATCTATTCAATGCTAGGTATTAGGTTTGTCTACTACTAGTATCCCCAACCATATACATTACATTATAAACATCTTTAATGCCCAATTTTTTAAAATAAATTTAAATTATCAATATATTGAAGAAATAAATTGAAAAACAAATAAAGAGATAAATACAAATATATAATAAAATGTGATGGATTCGACTCTTAAAAAGAATATTTTTTTAATTGAAAAATTAATATTTACTTCCAATGACAACTATTTGATACATGAACGTGAATCAGATCCAGCGCAATCTCCTGGTTTTGAAAACGAAAGAAAGCGATTTCAAATGGTTTGAAAATAAGTTTAACAAATTCCTATAAACTATTTGATGAAAAAAACTTTATCCCTAAATCTATTTCAATAAAGAAAAAATAGAACGGAATTTCATTTATTGCAAAATCGACGTTTTCTTAAAATATAATTTTATGCAAGGTACACTTGAATAGGCAAGAATTAAAATAAAGAAAAATGATAGGGTTTGACAGAATGTAAAAACAATTTTTGTAACATAAAACTATAACATTGCATCAACCTAAACTCTGATATTAATCGATAGAAAGTAAATAACAATTGATGTACAATTATAACACGTTCACAAAAATGACACCAACCTTAAAGGATAAGAGAATATTATCCGGATAAAAGATAAAATCCATACATATTGTATTAATTGAATCACGAACATAAATAGAGTATATATACTCCATTTTCTTTTTTTGTCTGTGGATATAGATTTTGTTCATTAAATAGTTGTATGTTATTAATCAAAATATATTAAAATAAAGTTTAAGTCAATTAAAATGAGTAGTGAAGTATAAGTTTCCTTTTTAAAATACAGGTAGATAACAAATTTAATAGTTTTGATGCATGAATTTGATGTTCCCACCTATATTGTGTACTGGTCTTATCAACATTCACAATTATACGAACATTTTTGGAGCATTACATGGGTCCAAAATTAATGTTTAGAACTATATATACACTGTCTTATCAGAAGGATATGTCTCGTGTATTGTGAAACCAAATTTTGTGAAATCGCAGGCTCTATTTGTTAATTGCATTATTTATGTTCTTGAAAATTTCATCTGATTGCAAGGAAAATTGTTTGGTTAGCAAGTGCCAATTAATTAGGTGTGGCATGTGAAATTGATATATAATGCCACTTTTTCTTAATAATATGGATGGATTTATAAATTTCAAATCAAGGGTTTATTAAGATTGGTATAAAATTTCAAACACTTGCTTGCATAATAGAAAATCCAATTGATCTAAAATCAAATCAACTATTTTTGAATCGGGTTGATTTGTTTAGATTGTATACAAAAAATTAAAAAATTCGAATAAATCCAAATCCACGTATAAACATCCCTAAAACATACTAAAAAACATTTTTGTTCAAGAAAAAGGCTGCTGATTAGCCTCCGAATGAACAATTAAACAAAAGAGTGTGTAATTATGTGGGCAGTTCCAAGGTGGTAGGAGACAGAGTATTGTTCCTAAGCCCAAGTCATATGATTTGTCGCATAATTTATAATCATTTCCTGTTTTTCTACACCTCCGTTTCTCAAATGGCCCATATTCCCTATCTTTTTTTTTTTTTTTTCGTTTGATCAATGTCTTTCATATTAATTTATTGATTTGATACTAAATCCGAAAAAGAAGAAGAGGAAATTTTATGAAAATTCCCTGAACTAGTTATGCAATTCTCTCCCTTAGGCTTTTGTTGGATAATGAATGGCCCAATTACAAAGATGTTATTTTTCCATTGCCTTGAGAAAAAACAAAATGGTATTTCTACCATGGGCTTTCATCTCCAAGTTTTGTTACGTTTTAAAGCATAGTTGTAGACAAATGATGATGTTGACTATCATAGAGAGTAGACTCATGATCGTATACAAATTGTTAGATATCACTGATTAAAATTTAGATTGAATACCATAGGTTGGTAAGAAACATTTTAATATCATGTATTTTCCATTTTGAATTCATAAACACCATCATTCACCAGCATGAAAACGAACACACCAAATCCAGAAATAATTATCATGATCACTCAGGACACACCATTAACACCAACCATACTCATACCTTTAAATTGGGTAGTTTAGTTTCCACCTGTGTTGTTCAAAGGAGACCAGCACATATCATATCGTTGTTGAGCATTAATTAAGGCGAATCTCGTCCAAGCTACTTTTATCAGCTAGCCGTGACCTCTGTTGAAATTGGAAGTAGTCCCGGTATTTGATGCTTCTGAACAATGGCTTCTCATTCTCCAATAGCTCCGCCACAGGTCCAATTTCCTTATCTAGCGCAGGTCCATTCGCCAACACAACACTAATCCTAGTGTCTCTGTTGTTCAGGATTGCTCGGTGCAACACCCTCTCGTACCTCCCGTTACTCACAACCTATATTACAATGGCTGCATAAGTTTTGTACACGGTTTTTCTTCACTAGAAGTATGTCTTCTTTTTTTAAGCTTTTTAACATGGCATACCTCGAGTTGATCTGAAAGTAAGACAATTTGGCAGTTAGGAAGGGGATTAACGTTGACCCATTTACCATGGTGCTTAACCTGAAGTCCTCCAATTCCATTCTGCGTGAGCAAGGTCAATAAGCCTATGTCCGAATGTGAAGGCATCCCTAGAGCAAGGTGTGGTTGTGGACATGGTGGATACATGTTCACAGCGAAGAGCTGATGGCCAGAGTCAAAATCAGTGCACTCAATTATCGAATTGGATGCTAATCCTAAACTCTCTGATATTCCTTCAAGCAACTTCCTTGTCACACTTCTGATTTTCTGGCTATAGTCATAAGCAACCTCCCTGCAGTAGTAGGAAGTGTAGAAGGTAAAGAAATTATGAAAGCAGTGCATAAATTAATGTTGCGTTGAGTTGATTAATTGATTAAAGCTTCTATATAATTTAATTACCTGTAACCTGATGGTTTGTGGGGGAAGTTGAATTGAGGAAACGTGATAGCCTTGAGATAATCTCTCCAATAATGAACCTTCTCCACTTGAGGACAAAAGCTGGTGCCATACCTAATGGGTTCAAAAGGGCCCTTGTCACCGGACTCCTTTTCCTCCATCGGCAAATCATGAAACTCGCGAGATTTTTTCATCAACTTCTCCACCAGGTTCTCGGGAATTCCATGATTTATGAGCTGAGAAGCAAGTGAGTGAATAAGATATCGACTTGGTACTTTTTACGGGGAAGAATAAGATTTTGAGAGAGAAAGTTTCCAACTTTCTTACCAAGAAGAAACCCCACTCAGAACAGGCCTTGCCGAGTAGGTGCACCGCTTGGGCGTGAGTCTGAGGGTGGTGGGAAGAGAGATGAGAAAAGTCTATGATTGGGATGGAAACTGCAAAGTCGTCTGCAACATCATTATCATCATGGAGTTGTGTGATGGAGTGGTAGGTGGAAGGGATAGGAGAAGAATCTCCTTTTGATTCTACAAAGGCTTTGATGCTTGTAATATGAGATGCATGAACTTTTGGTGGTTCTGGTTCTGACGAGGGAATGGAAGCAGCAGAGGCCATGGATGTTGTAAGTTCTGTACAATATCACAAATTTTTGGATCCCCACCCTTCTTATATGTGCTCAAAGAATACACAAGACATAAAAAATAAAGACAGATATGGAAAAGGCTGGAGCTGCGGGGAATCGAACCCCGTGCCTCTCGCATGCGAAGCGAGCGCTCTACCATATGAGCTACAACCCCTATTGATAATTTTGTCCCTTTTATTAAATATCAACTCTTACCTCTATAAATATTAATATTATTATTATTATATTAATTTAATTGGTTGTTTAATAATATTTATAAAAAAATTCCCCTTATAAAAGACCATAAATCATTCTATATTTTTTTTTCTTAAACACTTACATTATCGCTCTGTAGATTAAGTTTATGAAAAAAATATAATTAAATTGTAAATAAATAATTATATGAATTCTTACCTGTATTTGCACGATAGGTTTAAAAATTCCAAAAAATTAAAATGTATAGCATTTGAATTATTTTGTGACATATTTTTTAAAATTATTTATTTAAATGAAATGATTAAATATCTTGTATTTCGATTGCCAGATAAAGTAATATAATTTCTAGCCGAATATAAATTTATTTTAAAATATAAAATTCTTATTAAAATATTAATCAATTTTAAATATTAAAATTATAGTTGTAATTCTATTTTTGATATATTAAAACAATTTAAAATACAAATACTAGTTTTCGGACATTAATATTGATCACTTGTATAAAAGAATTATACTATTATTCACTAATTATTCCATCCTTGCATAATAAAATTAGTTAACTATAAAAAATACGATATAATATCACTTGTAAAATATAATTCAACCCATAATAACAGTCTAACATGCAAGTTGACTTTATAGTAAAAGTTTTTATTATTGTTGATTTTTCAATAATAATAATTCAAATGTCATGACAGTATATTAATCTCACCTTTTATTTGTTAAAGTATATATATTCGATTAATTTTCTATAATATTTTTCTTATATAAGATTTTTAATGTAATTTAATCAAAACTTTTAAATGATATTGAATTATATATATATATATATATATATATATATATATATATATATATATATTATTAAAAAATCATCATCTCTAAATTTAAATCCAATATATATTTAGTGAAACATCAATGATTAATTTTCTACTTAATAGTTATTATCTTACTATTTCTTTCAAAATCCAATATATTATTATAAAATTTCATGGCATTTTTATTAAAATGGTTAAAATATTTTTTTACTAATTTTTGTTTGAAATCTTAAAAACCTTTTTTGTGTTTTCTATATATTAATATCTCCTCTCCACATTTATAATTTTTGCATTTTTATTTTGCTGAGTTCCACCTTTGTTGAAGTTTACTATGAATCCATTACAACATACTTGTTAAATATTCATGGAAGTTAGACTGAAAGTGTAAATAAAAATCAGGTTGCTCCAATGTATCTGCAAAAATGAATTTTATAAAAATTAATTATATTATGAATTAGTTATTCCAAAATTCTGAATTAAATGTTTCAAAAATATATTTCAGGTTGGATGTTCGCAAAATATATTAAAAAATAAAAAATCTACAGAACAATCGTTTCAAATATTTCCGAAAAATTAAATTAGAAAATCTTATTTCATTTAATAATAAAATAAGATTTATTTTAATTACCTGTAAGAAGAAATTATGAAAATTTAGGACAATAGAGCCGAATTTATTTATAATTTTTGTATCGGGCCCAAAGGCCCATACTTTAAATTTTTATAAATACTAATGGCACTGGAATGTTCCGCTTCAACCTTCCAGAATCAAGAGTGGATCCATCCAACAGCAAACAAACACCCTTCTCTCGACTCACCGATGGCCATTATCTCCGATTTCAACGAAGAGGAGCAGAAACCCACTCACTCCTCGCAATCATCCTCCTCTTCCTCTTCCTTCACTGCCACTTTCGACCGATCAAACCCCCTCGCTTTTCTCCAGAGAGTCTTTGAATTCGTCTCCGAACAGAGCGACTTTCTGGCCACGGAGGCCGCCGAGAAGCAGGTAGCATCGCTGGTGCGCGCCGCTGGAAAGAAGAAGAGAGACCACCTTAAGGCCTCCGAGGAGAGGGAGAAGGCCGATAAGAAGAAGAGAGAGGAACTCAAAGCCTCCGAAGAGAGAGAAAAGGCTGAGAAGAGATTGAAGGAGGAGAAGGAACCGAAAGCAGAAGAAGATGGCCCCTCCAGAGGTAAACTCGCAGAATCCATTTCGGGCTTTCCCAATGTGCAATTATTATTTCTTACCCTAACAATTCTTTAATTCCAGTGTTGGTGGGAGTAAGTTTTTGCTTTGTTGTGATTTATGAGGGACTGACCGTGTTTAAACGATAATGTATTGCTTGTAGATCGTTTATTTGTCTTGTGTTTGATTTATGCATAAAGTGGCTAAACATGTAATGATTATTGCATGTGATAGGTAGTGTATTGCTTGTACGGTAACATTAATTTGCGGATAAAATTGGGGGTTGATACTAAAGACACAATCTCAGTAATAGTGCATGGGTCCTCCTCCTTCTTTGGCAACACCACGAGCAGAAAAATAGGTAGGAGATTTCACCGATGTGCCACGGGGAGAAACCACCCACTTATATTTGCCCAACTTGCATATTTTTATACAATGAGACTCCTATTTACGCTTGAATTTAAACACTGCTAACCAATGTATTTACGGGATTAGTTAAGCAAACAATAACTGAAAGTTTTTATCTGGAGAGTTAGTTTGTAATCATCAGAGAGTACTCTATTTCACCTCCCAATATAAGAAGTTTCACATTTGATTACATAAGCAGTGTCCTAAGGTCACATATAGCATCCCATTATATGGGAGTTCGGAGTTGCTTGTTGAAATGATTAAGTGAAACATTAGTTGTTTCAAGGAATTTGTTATTGGGGAAATCCTAATTGACATTGTAAGTTGCTTAAAAGATTTTGAGTTGTTTTACCTTGTAACCTACAAAAATTAATAAAAAGAAGAAAATACGTTGCGCTTGAGTATGATGTGGCACAAATATGTTATGTTTTCCGATATGAGAAGCAACTTATGTAAGTTTTTCCTATTGAAGATGTCCTTATTACCTACTAACCGTTGACCTTATGTCATTGTTTAAGATATATGTTCAAAATTTTTTGTCCGGATAGTGCATTAAAAATCATGGCAGAATGCACTGTTGCACTTTCCTATAAAAATTTCCACTTTTGGTTGATTAAGTAATGAATAAATAGAAGGTTTTTATTGGGAGAGTGTATTATTGCACTTCCCAATAAAAAAATTACTTAAGCATATTCTGCCCTAAGAGTACTGATTGGCATTTTAGCTAAGGGTCCTGCTAGCCAAATCCCTTAGCCTTCGATTGGATCGAGGGATGTTCTGTGTACGAAGAAATGAGGAAGTATGTACGTGTTTGTTTCTAACTATTTGTGTTGATTTGAGAAGATGGATTAGTGGACCAATCATACTAGAAATACCTTCATATATACGAAGAAAAGCAAGGAAACATGGTGAAATTTTTATGTTGCCCCTTAAGTAAAATTTTGTCCCATTCTCATGTGCATCTTCATGAGAATTTCTAAGGGATTTATTGCATTGCACAACCAATACAATTGAAGAAGAAAAGAAACATTACAACGATCAATAATCGATTATGCACCCATTGCTAATCAATTATGAGATGTGTGATAATCAATTATGGTATAATACTGTAGTGGTGACATTTTATATATTGAATATGTGCTAAGTCAATGGTTTTATCATTATTATGTTAATCTTAAACTTTTTTTTTAAACTACATAATAGGATTTATGTTTGTGTATTTTATAGGATTTGTTAATTTAAGTTTGCACTATTAAATAATTACAAAAACTAGTTTATAGTGTTAATTTATAGAAATTAGATAATTAATTATAAAATAATTTATATTTATTTTTATTAAATTTATATTTATAAAATCAATTATATCATAATAAACATTTTTACTTAATTTATCCATTTCAGCAATAAGGGTATTTTGGTCATTACATTTAAAAACTATTATTCAATTTTTTTATATTCAGTCACATCATTCACACCAACTATAATAAATCTATTCAAATTCCTTCAAATCTATTATCTTTCTCTCAACCCAAATAATTCCACGGTCCACTCTAAATCACCTCAATTTCACTCTCTCAAATTCCCGTCCCAATCCAAACATAATATTAGGGATTGGTTTAGTAATCATCAACGAATAGAAGTTTGTATTGGGATAGTATATTGTCATTCAATTTTCTAGGAAGAGAGAGGGCTAGCACAAAAACTAATACGCATGCTGACCTTTTAATGTGCATTAACGCGCACACCTGTTTTGACTGCTGATATTTTTATTTTTTCTTTCAATACCTAATCAGTTCCAAATAAGGGTAATGGCATGGATCTGGAGAAATACTCTTGGACTCAGACTCTTCAAGAGGTTAATGTGAATGTTCCGGTGCCAAATGGAACCAAATCAAGGATTGTTATCTGTGAGATTAAAAAGAACCATTTAAAAGTTGGACTCAAAGACCAACCTCCAATTATTGAGGTCAGTTTTTCCTTTTATAGCATTCATATGGAGAGTTTTATTCTATGATGTTAATTATTTTTGCTAATTGATGGTATGATGACTCAGTTTTTTTTTTTTTTTAAATGTTAATTTTTATCGATGACTATGCTTATTGACGAATTTTAAAATTTTCAGGGGGAGTTATACCGGTCTGTCAAGCCTGACGATTGTTATTGGAGTATAGGTACTGTACTACTTACAGCAATAGATGAACCTTTGAAGTTACAATACATGCATTGTGTACATGCATGAGCTAAGAATGTTCGGGTGTGGTTTTGGATTGTTTTATTTATTGGTATTGGAATCATTATCATTTCATATCTTACACTTCACATAAAAACTCTTTTTGCAGAGGATCAATGTGCACTTTCTATTCTTTTGACCAAGCATGATCAAATGGAATGGTGGAAATGTCTAGTAAAAGGTGATCCTGAAATTGATACTCAAAAGGTTGAACCAGAGAACAGCAAACTTTCTGACCTGGATCCTGAGACTCGACAGACTGTTGAGAAAATGATGGTAATCATTAATGATATTTACACTAATTGGTCATATTAGTTGCGTTTGTTTAGTCTCTGTTATTATCGTCATTTCCTAAGGTCCTTTTGATATTTGCAATCCACCCATTCATTTGTTGACAAACTGTTAAAATATAAGCCATATAAAATATCTTATGTGTCTGCTTCTGGTTATGTATCTTGTAATTTGTTGAAGATATCTTAGTTTATTCACAAGGCTGAAGAAATGACCAATTTTAGTGTAACCGTAAGGTATATACATCTGCGCTGGCATAGTTAGATCTGAAGGACGTTTCTTTGCTAATTGGTTTACTATTCTCGTGTACTGTTATGCAGTTTGACCAGAGGCAGAAGTCTATGGGCCTTCCAACCAGTGAAGAGCTCCAGAAGCAGGAAATCATGAAGAAGTTTATGGCTCAGGTGATTCTTTACACTCTTGTTCACGTGCCTTCTTTGATTGATTATCACTTTATCAGTTGATTTAATGTTTTATCTGTTTATGTTTTGCAGCATCCGGAGATGGACTTCTCAAGGGCTAAAATATCATAAACGGTGCATTACTCTGGACATGCTCTTTCGTGTCTGACTTCATTGCATACAAGCTGGTCCTGCTCTCTTACACTATACTAGTTAGTGGTTAGCCTTTGGTCGATTCTTAGTATCTCGTTATCTGTTTTTGGGCTGTGAACACAATGAACTTCGTTCATAATAATTTTGCTAGATATTTCCTTTGACAACATGGAGAGGGTCAAGTATTTGTTTAATTTTAGGGTTTTGGTGTTAAATTTCTTTTTTAACCATCATTACCATTACCTATGATCAATCTGTGCTTACTTAATTTGAATCGCATATTTACTTAATTTGTCTTTATTGAAAAGTTTGAGAATTGATTTTCTAACGCCAGAACGAACAGGGCTTAGTGGATCAATTTTCATTATATAAGGTTCTCATTTAAACTTTTTATTTACTTTGAAAGCAATGAAATTTAGAAAGTACAAGGGGCGTTTACAATATCTGAACACCTTAATAATAGCGAATTATTATTTATACTAGTCAATATTTTGATGGGTAGGCTTAATCTGACCATTACAATGTTAAATAATTAAGATAAAGTTAAATGTAAAACACTTATTAACTGGGACGTATTTTTTGAAAATAAATTACCTCTAGTGTTACCAAACAGCTATTAGTAACTATGTTTTTGAGAAAAAAAAATCATGCTAATGAAGATGAATACCGGCCCCCGTTAATTTACATTCTTGCACCAAAAAAAATCCCATTATTTGAACATTTAAGTTGACGCCCAGTGTCTCATTTACCTCTTAATAATTTCCATAAGCACAAATCAAGGGTTCTCCGAAACATTTTTCTAAAACAAGGTTATACATGACAACCATTAAATATGAAGTGGACTCAAATTGGCTCTTGATAGTGTTCTTAACAAAAGTGTGTTTTATAATGTGGAAATAATACTCAGTACATAAATTTGTTGAGGTTGTTACGCATTTTAGTTAGGTTCACATCTTGTACCGCAAATCAACTAATGAAGACATTTTTTTATTATAGATATATATATTATATTTTTAAAAAAACATGGGTGTAATTGCCCCCAAAACCCATCAAATACCCAAAAAAATCGTTCTTGAACATTAATTGTTGTCTAAGCATTTATAATCAATGGTTTTTAAGAATAAATTCATTGATATTTTTTATTTGTAAGTATAATCTTTTTTATGGCTCAGTCGTGGATAGTTGTTTAGTTTATTACACGGTGATTTTTATAAGGAATAAAACAGAAATTCCCTTCTGATATGATTACTTATTGCAAAATCAATATACTTTCCTAACTCTCAAGTAAAAAAAACCACCAAATAAAGAATGGAGGCAGCGAAGAAAAGACTTCAACTATAGGCCAACATCTTGTCCCTTACCTCTTTTTATACCCTCCTTCACTCATGCTTTTATGCTTTAGAACACTAACAAAAAACTAACTTCTTGCCCAATTTTAAGCTAGTGATAATAATACTTGTACTGAGAGTGTTAATAAATTTAAACAATCTAGCATTATTACTTTTATACGATAAAACTTTGAGTAGTTTTATTTAAATTTTAATTTTAATTTAAATAATATTTTAACGATGATATACTATCAATATAATTTGTGTACACTATTATTTGATAAAAATAACTAATAATATAACTTTTAAAAAATTCTGTATAATATAAGAATAGTTGTATAAAAGTTTTTTTTAAGTTATCATTGTAAACACTGTTTATCAAGCAATATTTTATGCATTTATTAATGAAGAGTGGAAGTTTCCATTCCACTCTCTTCAGCATTATAAACTAAAATCTATATTAGAAAAAAAAAAGTGAAAAAAAAATAAAAGTCAACGAAGAAAGAAAGAGTGTAAACTAATCTTCTCAGGGTTGTGTCCTTTTGTGAAGATGTGTCAATGATATGTAAATGTCTGCTTAAATGTGCTTGTACATTTCCTTCCTCTCATTTTAGTCTCTTTGCGTAAATCTGTCAACGGTTATAATCAATTACACAACAACATGTTTCTGGTGGAATTTCGATCGATTTCGATTCTAAAGATGTTTTGCTCCTAATCAAAATCCTCCCACGTAAGTTCTTTTTACTTAGGCTAGCAATTTGACTTTCAATCGAAAACGTGTATAAGAATCGAAAGTTACAGGATATCGAAAATGCTATTTTTTATATTTAAAATACCGAACACGAGTAAAAATATCGAATCGAGAAACGAGAATATTAAATTGCGAGGAAATGTAAAGTGCGAAAACCCCAAATTTACATTAATTGTAAATGACAAGAAATCGAAAACAGTGCAAATATAAATGACAGAAATCGAGATTGTAAGAAAAGTAAATGACGGAAAATCGAGATTGCAAGAAAAGTAAATGACAGGAAATCGAGATTGCAAGAAAAGTAAATGACAGGAAATCGAGATTGCAAGAAAAGTAAATGACAGGGAAACTTAAATGCAGAAATTTAAACTTTCATTGAATTGAAATGACAAGGAATCGAAAATACAGAAACATAAAACTGCTGAATTTAAGTTGCATCAAAGTAAATTACCAAGGAAAATACAGAAAGCGGTAAATGTACTCAGTGAGCAAGGAAATCCAGATTGTCAGAAGCTTCATGGTGTTCGTCGTTTCTCCGGTAGACTTTCCACTACTGATTCTGTTCTCTGCCAATTTCTGCCCCCTGTTCCGTCCTTCTTTGCTCTATTTATAGGGCATCGTTCAAGCTTTCCAGGAGCAGTTAACAAGACTGCTACCACGTTCTACGTGCATATGGCAGTTTATCTTCTACGGTTTCCCATGTTCTCACGATCTTTGACTTCCTCCAAGGTTTCGAAACTGCTCTCTATACGTGCGTTTGATTTATTCTTCTCTTCACGGTTTGGCCAGGGTTTCAATACCCACGTATATTAGTTTTCCCCTCGATTTCAATTTTATCGAGAACTTTACATTACTTTTGGTTCATTTTAACTTTGGCATTATATACTTCTAATTTCTTGGTTTGTTCCACAATAACCTTTTAACTTTTATTCCTTCTATTCCGACACTACCTTTCGATTTTGTGTGTCACGTCCTTTATAATTGGACATTGTTTCTTGATTTTTCTTTCATTCGTTTTTCGATCATTTTTCTCGATTTCCTACTAACAAAATGCCCCCTTGGAAGAATATGAATAGTTTCTGTTTATATTCTTTCAATATTCCCGCCTTAGTATTTGGAAACCCACAGAACTTAGGGTTTAGGGTTTTTAGGGTTCTAGGGTAAAAAGGGTTTTAGGTTTCCTTTTTGCTTTACGTCGCCGTCTCGTCAGTCTGCTGCCTTTCAGTACAAGCTACATTAATTGCCTTTCACCTCCGTCGTTTCCAGCTCCCTAGGTGATTTTCCTTTTACCTTCTCTATTGACCTTTACTCCGGTTTTTTACGCGAATCCTTACCTCCTTGCAATCTCGTCTTCCTCCTAGAGCTCCTGTCTTCGCCTTTGCCACCCAACTTTTAACCTCTCTCTGCTCTTCCAAGCTAACTGAAATGGCAACTTCATCCAAGTCTTCCGATTTCTCAGCTCCACCCTTTTCCTCATTGGCTTCTAACCTGCTGGAGATTAACAATCAGAAGTTCGCTCCAGTCCCTTTGATGGAGGAGGCTTCTCGGAAAATTGCTGAGACGCAGGTACTTATTCCTTTCACAGCTGAGGATGTTAATTTCGCTTTTGGGGGTCCTCTTCGTCCTATTGATGGAACCTTTTCTCCCCTTAACCTCGCGCCTAGCCCGGCTCTTATACACCAACCTGAAGTTAGGGTTGATTTTTTGAATGTGGTCTCGAGGGTATACCGAACGGGTCCTCCTTCCAAAAAATCTTCATTTACTAGATGGTTTGATAGGGTAAAAGCCAAGTTTGGAAACCACTGGAGAGATGTAGGATTTATGATTTTTTGCACCTATCTCGATGCGATTTGTCATTTTTGGATATGGTAATGTTTTTGTCTGCGGTGCATTTGTGGAACAAGGATTTACATGCCTTGGAGTTGCCCTGTGGTCCCCTTTCACCTACTCTCTTTGAGGTTGCTGCTATAACTGGACTGAAACCTGTAGGAGAAAGATACTTTCAGGGTGCATGTCCTTCGGATAATTCTCTAAAGTCCAAAATCGATTGGGAATCGAAGGCCTATGGGCATTTCCTCGAGCAGCATTTTGTCGATGACGAATCGATAACTGTTACCGATGAAGAGCACGTAGCCTTTTTGGTGTACTGGTTGTGTACCCATGTTTTCTGCCCCCGATCAATCCAAATTTCCTCTCATTTGTTTAACCTTGCGTATCTTCTTCACCTGGGCCAACCTAGAATATGTTTAGCCAAATTTTTGTTAGCACATGTATATACTGCTTTCGACGAGGCTGTCGAAATTTTGAATGCTCCTAAAGCCTCGGGAAATTTTTCTGGGCCTATTTGGTTTATACAATTATGGCTAACTTCGATTTTTGAGAGCATACTTCCCCCAACTTCTACCATCCCCCCAAGTATAAATATAGAAGGCGCTCGATTGTCTTCTCGTCATCCTTACCATAAGCCTGATGAAGCGGCCTATTGTAGATATCTTAATTTTTTGTTGACACGGTTCACTTTCGATTCGACTTTGACTCCCTTTACCATACATCTTGAACAACTAAGTGACCAACTTAGGGGACCAATTTGGTTTAAGTCAAAGTTCCCTGCCTCAACTCTTGGGTTGCAATCGGAGCTGGTCGATATATAGAGTAATTATTTGACCCATGATGTATTAATATCGGGTTTTCAGTCAAAAGACTTTAAGTTTATAACCTATTATCCCCAACTTTTCTCGAGGCAATTTGGTTTGAGCCAGTCTTTACCTTTCTTCCCCCTAAATACCTCCTCAAAGTCCAAGTTAACTGAATCGACCATCGGACGGGAGTTGGTCAAACTACTACCGCAAACTCCACTACATTTTTATCCCTATGCTTTCGAGTCAAATTATTTATCCACT